CAAAGAACTTCTTAAATGTTTTCTTTTAACTGGGATTATACACGCCTTTTAGAAAATGCTGGAACAATTGTTCTCCCACCATGTGCCACCTCCTTGACCCGAGACAGTTTTGTTTTGACAGATGTTAGCTCCTTAGGCCAGGAGATTCTTTCCCTGGGTCGCAGCCCGGACACAGCACCTCGGGGAGCCGCGAGCCTGCCCCACACAGTGAGGCCTGCCTCCCAGGTAGCTGGACAGGCCGCTCCAGCATCCTGAGCCAGGCCATTGATGCCCGGGCTTGTTTTCAAAGGAAGGGTGTGTCAGGGGCAGTGAGTGAGTGGAAATACCTTCATCCACAGGAATTGTGCGCAGGGGAGAAAAATAAACAAGGGAAAATGTTCCAGGGCAACCGAGGTAAAGCCCGGACAAAGGAGAGTGTGAAAAGGGAAGCCGGTGTGCCAAGGGCAAACAGATGCAGGAAACACTTAAGCCAGCAGGCACCCTGGCCCTGAAGTGAGGAGCTGGACCAGGCTTCCTTGTCTTGTCTGACTTTTCCTGGGACAGCAGCGCCACCTTCTGTTCAGTAATCAGAACATCTGAGTCGGCTGCTTACTGAAGAGGTAAGACCAGAACATTGAAGTGAGAGAAGACACATGACAGCCCGGTGCCCAAGCATTCTGCTTCCGTGGAACGCTCAGCCACCTCCTCCAGCCTCCATTTCTCTAGTCCAGGGCCAACTCAGGAAGCCCAGAGCCGCCCCAGCATCCCTGACACCCCAGGCCAATAGATCAGGACCAAAGGCTCCCCAGAGGTGGTCTGGAGTTGTCATTTCTTACTCAAACCCCCAAATATGGCGCTTTGCACTCGGTAACCCCAAACACCAGAGTGGGAAGAATGAAGTCAGGGAACACTCAACTTTGCTCGTCCACAACGCCCAAGTCTTTCCCCAGGAAACCCTCTGGGGTTTCGTCCAACCCCAGCCCACACATTTCTTTTAGGACACAGTGGACAAGTGGTTTCTTCAACCTTGTCTGAAAGAGGTCCAGGAACAGGGAGCTCACTACCTCCAGAAGCAGCTCGACCCACTTCTGGCCAGAGAACAGCCAGTTCACCGTCAGATGACAGCGAACGTCTGCCGTGTAATTCTAGGCTTCGCTTCATGTGGCCGCCGCCGCCCTTCCCTTACCGGACCTCCAAACAGCAGACAGAGCACCAGCTCTTCCCCCGTCTCCCCCTCCCAGCTCCTTCACTTTTCCTCACATGATGTGGTTTTAAGTCCCCTCACCTTGAAGCTTTCTCTCCTCTGAGTGTACTCCAGTTTAAAGGCGGAATTCAATATTCCAAAAAACGCCTCAACGACACGAGTGACCACCTGGGGAGGGAGCAGAGGAGTACTGGTCGTTGTACCTAACACTACTGAACACAGACATGCCAGACACTATGGAGCTAAGTATTTATTTACATTTTCTTAGTTAAGTCTCATAAGACAAACGAGGCAGATTTTATCATGATGCCCATTTTCCAGATGAGAAACACTGAGGTGAGGGGACTTCCCCAAGGACAGCTGGAATTCAAACCAGGTCTCTAACCCCAGGGCTTTAACTTCTCCCCACCACCTGGGCGGTTTCCTCTTCCTCTGGGGGCCCTGCTGCCCCCCGGCAGCTCAAGGCCCCCTAAGGATAACAGCCGCTTCGTGGACACATGCAGAGCAATGACTGAGTTGTCACTGTTATTTAATGTCACCCACCCAATACCTTTGTTTGTGAAGAACAGTGATTCTCAAAGTTGATCTGTGGACCCCTGGAGGTCTGCAAGGTCAAAATTATTTTCATAACATGAAGACATTTACCTGTTTCACCGTGTTGACATTTACAGGAGCAATGGTGGGTCAACGTGTTGGCCCTTTAGAACAAATCAAGGCAGCAGCACCAAATTCTAGCAGGAGTCATACTCAGTTAAAAAAAAAAAAAAAGCCAATTTCACTTCTGAATGTCCTTGACGCTTGAGTAGTTTTTTTTTAGCATTTTGTATGATGACGAGAGGTGTGCATAAACTTGGACATCGAGGAAAAAGCACCCATGTGGTTATCTGGGTTCCAAGCTGACCTAGCGGCTTTCTTCACAGAACACCATTTTACCTGAAAGAATGACTGACAAACTGTGGTCACTCCGATGCAGGAGTTTGGCCGACATTTCCTCAAAAACAAAGCCTGTCACGTCAAAGAAAACTGAGAGTATTTATTGGCAATGATAACATTCCAGCTCTCCAGCAAAAGCTAGAATCTGGGGAAGTGTGTACTCCCCACTGTGAGCAAGCCAGCTCCCCAACACTTAATGGCCTGTCTGCTGAGGTCAGTAATGTCCTGTCAAATACGATTCTGGGGGCCACTATAGAAGCGAATGTGTCAGCATCGAGGAGATCTGCGTAACTCAGTGAACCATTTTCCAAATCGCTAGGGCCCGATGATGTGGCACCGTGCCTGGGGAAAAGAGCCGTTCCAAGTGCAAGAGAGGCCGTGGTCTTAACGCAGCAGAGTACAAAGTTCATCGCTAAGGCTTCACGTTCCACATGGCAGCCAACTAACCTTTAGAAAATTACCGCTTGCTGAGCTTTGATAAAGCATCAGAGGAGAAAATCCACAAGTACCCGAGTATCTATTAAAATACTTCTCTTTCAAACGACCTGAATGTGTGAAGACAGTTCTTCAAATACCTCAACCTAAACAACATACTGCAACAGACTGAATGCAGCAGTTAGGAGACCTAGCTTTCTACTAAGCTAGATTTTAGACACCAAGGAAACTTGTAAAATGGTAAAACGATGCCTCCCTTTGTACTAACTTTTTTTAAATTTTGGAAATAGTAATTTTTCATAAGAATGTTATTTATGTTAATATGTAATAGGTTTGCTATTTTAAAATAAATAGTTAACATTTTCCTCGGTTTTAACTGCTCAGAAATTGTCAACAGACAAAGCCAAAATGAAGAAAAGCTCTATGGGATCCTAATTTTTAATTGTGTAAAGGAGCCAAAATGTTCTGAGAGAGCAGATCTTTAAAAGCCAAAGTAGGAAGGAGTGCCATCTAGTGGAAAAGACAAATGTGACATGAATCCATTTGTTAGCAAAATAAATGACATCCTATTGTTAGAAACTTCACATACTTAAGGCAGAAGCATCTATAATAATAAAAGCGTAATATGCTAATTAGAGTGGACAGCTGGACGACCATCCGGACGAAGCTGGGGCTGCGAGGGCCGAGCCCCTTGCATGAATTTTGTGCATTGGGCCTCTAGTTTGAAAATAAAGGTTTAACATACAAAAATATTGTTAAATATCAATTGAAATAAAGCTTAAATGTGCCAGAAAAGTTCCAGAACAGAGGGAGGGTTGAGAGAGGTTTGAGTGGAGGCCCCCTCGGGAAGAGCTGATGGCAGGCTGGAGAGGAAGTCAGGGCCCTAAGGAAATCGGGCACAGAAGACTCCTGCCAGGGACTGTGCATAAAGAAACAATTCCTGTCCCTATTGGGGAGCCCAACGGCCCACACACCCCAAAAACTAAGACAGAAGCCAAATACTAATGCTACTGGCCACTTTCATTCTGCCAGCCCAAGGGAGCTGTACCTTCCTTCCAGGCCACAGCCTGCCCTCTTGCCAGTAATGCTTGACAGTAGGCCTGGGCTCCTCCCCAGCACAGACAGGAGCCTGCGTCTGCTGTCGCTAGGATGCATTTTTTCTCCTGCATGCTGATGCTAACGCTTCTTGGTAAAGTGTTTTCTTCTCTGCATCATCCCCAGCCTTTCATGGTTGACGTCAGTGCTATCCAATCACACAATCAGTTCAAATTTGGAACTGATGCTGTATTTTCAAATATGCTACTTTAGATCCTAATTGGGTATAATTTTCCTAAATTCCACTAAGTCACCTTAAAGGCCTCAGCTGGGCTTTTGCTTTTTGCTTTTTGTATTTGAGAGTGCATTTATTAAAGCCGGAGACAGGGAAGCAAGGAGGGGCTGAGGATAGAAGCCGCAACAGGAGAGCCCAGGTGGGGCTGCTTTGGGGAAAGGGGGCCTTGGAGACAGATTCAGGTTAGCCTGGGACAAGGTGACACTGCCCATTGCTCCTCTGGTTGCAAGTCTCGTGGGGACCTCAGAGCTTAGGAGATGCAGGCCTACGGGGAAAGAAAGGGATGGGCATGCTCTTGGAGGGGGAGTGTGCCAGCCTCAGCTGGTTTAAAGCGGTTTTTAATCACAAAATTTGGTCCCTATTCCCCAGCCCCAGAGTGATGGAATCAGCCTTTCTCTTTGGGGGTGTGTGGGGGGGAGTTTGTCCCTAAAGAATGTTTCCCTGACAGGTACACTTGTACCGATGCTCAGCTCACAAGAGGGCAAACCTACTCGACACAAGTGGGGGTCCTTCCCCTTTACCACGATAGTCAAGGAGTGTGGTAATTCCTCTCAGCTGCTACTTGGATGGAGCTATAAGAAAAAACTATGTTGTTTGGAGAGACCATTCTGTATGGTTTACCCAAGAGTGGAAGGGCACAAGCCTGGGAAACAATGATCGGCTCAGCAACCCCAACAGCAGGGAGAGGCCTCATTCTGTCTCACCCTCTCAGGCCCTTCTTCACGTCTAGACAACTGAAGAGAACCCAGAGTATACAAGGCGGCCCTTCATGCTTCCTGATTCTGGAAACATCCCCAAATCTAACCCCCTGCGGGAGCAGTGACCCACAAAGCACACCTGGACGCAGAGCACAGGGAGGCTGTGCGCTCAGCCAGGCCTCCAGGCTCTCTAGTCGAGATCTGGCACTACCTACAAGGCCAGAGGTCCAGGCTGCTCCAGGACTTACTCCTTCCAGAGTGGCCTCCAGGTTTCTTCATGAAACTGATTTCATCCCAGAACGTTTACACATGGTTGCACAGTGTGTCAGTGGGACAGACCTTGACCAGACATATGAACTGAGCCACAATGTTAAAATGCCTTATTCGCATCCAGCCACCCACCACAGCCAACGCCAAGTACCTTTGGGTCATCAGCCTCAGGTTTTTCAGTCTCTGAATCGTCATCTTCCTACAAGACAAAGAATTTAGAGGATTAAGCTTAAAGGAGCGGGCCTGAGGGTTCACATATGCACAACTAGGGGTTGCAGCAAACTTACTCAGCCTGGGTCATCCCACCAAGACCCCTCCCCTACCACATGACCCAGAACTGGAGGAGGAGATGTTCTGGGGGGAGGAAGAACACCAGCGGCTCAAAGTAGATACTCCAGCAGGACCATTGTCTACACGAATGAAAATGCCTGAGATGAAAAATCGCCAACAGAAGAGTGGAGGCAAGGCCACAAGATGCTTCAGAAAAGAATAAGGCCAGGCCCCACAGGATAAAGGCATACTGTTTCCAATGAAACATCCATCACTTAAAACCAGAAACACAAGCTGTTTCCTTGCTTTTCATATACACAAATAATCGGACTCAGACCTACCAGGGCACCATTCACCGCCAGAGTGCCGTGACCCCCACACACCTGTACCCCGGCAGTTCAACCCAGTAGCATTTGTTTGCACCAACATGAACACTAGGAAGGCAGGTGTCAAATGCCCAGGGTGAGTGACTCGGGAAAGGCATGACTAAAGAGCAGTGCCCAGCCTCTGCAGTATGCCCGTTTCCAGCCAAGTTCCCCCAGAACTGCCTTTACCGTTCTATCCAGCCTTGTTCCTTATCCAAATGGCCTGCTCCACACAAAGCACCATTCTCCAAAGCATGCGCTGGCCTCACACGAGCAGGCCCACCATTCCACTGAATGCTAACGAAGGCCACAGACAGCGCCACTGCCCAGAGCACCCCAGTGCACGGAACCTTTAACTTACCACCAGGAAAAACTTAAGTGTCGTTTGAAACTGGTTTTTTCAATTGAGCTACATTTTAACCCCCACATTAAACAGCAGTCCAGATGTGAACATAATCATCACCTGAGAGACGTGAATAAACTATACTGATGGGTTTGAGATTTCACTGTCCTGTAAGGCATTTAAAATGAGCCAAAGGTTTTAAATGCAATTTCCTTAAAATGAATCCAATCAGGCCAAATATCAGAGATGTGGCGAAGCCAAAGACAATCACATTTTAGAAGGTCTATATTGGGATCTGATGAGAGGATTTTACTAAAATGTGAAATAAAGCTTAAATATGATGAAAATCCTAAGCAAAGCAAATGTGGAATAACACTTCAAAACACACTATGCAGATTTACACAAGAAAATAGCCAAAATGTTTGCACGTAAGAAAAGTCAGGGAAAGAACACAACTTGCAAAGCTTTTCTAACCAGTTTCAGTCCATTCTGAATTATCAGCATTGATGGTGGGGCTAAAGGCATGAAAATACCTTCCGAAAGAGCATAAAATATAAAGTACAGTTTTGCTTAATTTGAAAAGCATTTTTAATGGTAACATTTAAATCTCAACAGGTAGCAAAGTCTTCAAACACCTGATAAAAGTACACTGAATGTTTCAATTAAAGCTGTTGTCAAATATCCACATTCAACTTTGTATGTTTTTATGCTAAGCACCAGCTGAATCCTTGTTTTCCCCCCCAAACTTTTAAATTCTGGATCGTGATGCTTATGTGATATTGTATCTAAAGTCTTTCTGGTTAAGACACAAGTTCTCTTTTGTTAGCCACGCATACTAAATTTCAGGCAAGACTGGTGATCAGGAACCGGGCACTGTGATAAAAAGTGCCAAGTAAAATGTCAAGAAAGAAGTTAAGAAGTAAATCATACACACACAATAATAATAATTTTCCTTCCTAGTCTTTTGAATAAATGGATAGATTTGAATGAGCCCCAACCAAGATTAAAAATGATACAGAGCTGACTGTAGATATAAATGACACACCAATTAGAATGACTATACTGTTGCAAATGGAATAAACGATCTAAACAGGGAAAACAAACATAAAACACCCACTGGTATCTGGGTCAAATAAAATAATTCACTATCTTTCCCCCAAATATTAAATTCAAAGGTAAATACAAAATGGTCCAGGTGAAAACAAATTTGATTTTCAAACAGCACTGCCAATATCCAACCCAGTTTCCTTAATTAACACCAAACAGAGCGGGAGGAGAGGGGATGAAATTAGGTGTGAAATGGAACGCTGCTGGAACAGTTCGGAAAGTTTCTAACAAGTGGATGGTGCTATGAGAGGCTGTGGATTTGGGAACAGAGTTACTCACCGATTGTTTGCTGTTCTCCTCCTCCTCTTCCTCATAGCCATCTTCATCACCCCCGAGGCGAGAAAAATCGTCCTCTCCATACGCGTCAGATACCAATCCGCCTTTCTCCTCTTAAACAGAGGAAAAAATAAATAAAAATGAATAGATGGGGGGACATGCAAGAAAGCCTTCAGTGGTTCTCAACCTTCTGGCCCTTTAAATACAGTTCCTCATGTTGTGACCCAACCATAAAATTATTTTCGTTGCTACTTCATAACTGTCATTTTGCTACTGTTATGAATCATCATGTAAATATCTGATATGCAGGATGGTCTTCGGCGACCTCTGTGAAAGGGTCGTTCGACCGCCAAAGGGGTTGTGACCCACAGGTTGAGAACCGCTGCTTTAGGTGATCTGAGCGACTAGAATTCTATCTTAAGGTAAAAAAGGAACCTAAGTCTCATGTTAAGTGACCTCAGGCCCTAGATCCTGCTGTCTGAGAGCCTCCATTGACGTCCACCTTGGATCAAGGCTCCCGAGAACTCATCTTCTCATACAAGACAAGGATCTGTCATCCTCATTTCTGTGTGTCCTCCCCTAGGAAAGGACCTTGAACAGGGGGTCCCAATTGTACCCACTTGAGAAACAATCTTTTTCTACATTCAAGACAAAACAAACAAACAACACCCTCCTCCCCCAAACAATACAAATTACTGGGAAACCACCAGAGACGCCCCGCTGACTGGCAAAGACCACACAAAACAGAGACTAGCTGACCTAGTCCAAGCCCCTCACTTCCCGGATGAGGACACCAAGGCCCAGCTATATTAGTAACTCACTGTCTCTCTATGCTCCCAAGTAAATCTGTGCCCACTTCCCAGCATCGCGATCCCCAACCTGAGACAGGGCAACAAAATCACCGAGGGGACTTAACAGCTCACGAAATAATGGAATCACGAGGGGCCCTGGAAAGCTCACACGAGCCCAGATCCTACCCCACGTCTACAGAATCGCGCGGCGAGGACCAGATAAATGTTTTAAAAGCTCCGCGATGCGTCTAAGGCACATTACTAGCTAAAAGTTATAAAAGTAAAAAGAAACCCTCCACCTACGTTTTACTCGTCACTCTCGCATCCAACACGCTCGGAGAGAAGAGGCAGTGTTTCAGCAGCCCTGGACCCTCTCCACCCTTTGTCCATCCCTCTGCCTAGCGGGATGCCCGGCACGGAGATTTTCAATCAGTTTCAGCAGAAGAATCGAACCGGCGGAAGGAGAGGACCCATTCTTACCACGGAGTGTTCGGATCGCGCTGTGGGGTTCGGGGGCCCGATACCTGGCGCACAATGCCCACCGCTTTCCCTCCCGCAAGGACTGAGCAGCGTTCCGAGCGAACACCTGCTTCTCCCCTCCCCCCTCCCGCCTCCCGCCTCGGGCCTCACCAGCCGCGCTGCCCGCCGTCTCCACTCCAGCCTCGCCGTCCGACTCGGGCTCGGAATCTTCCGCGTAAACGGCCAGGGAAGACAGGACGCTCTTCTTCCCCGCCATCTTACTCCCACAGCCGCGGGGTGGCTCACCGCGCTGACTCCGGCGAGCCGACTTCCGCACCGAAAGGCGACCTCTTCCGGGTCCCAGAAGGCCCCGCGCCCGCTCCAAACCGGAAACCAATCAAGACGGCTGTTTCTGCGCCTGGCCCGCCCCTCACGCAGCGCTCGCGCAACGTCATTACTGCACGACGGAAACAAGGTTGCCGGGGTTTCGACAGTGGTAGTCCAGCTGTTGGGCTTCTCCGAGTTGGCGGTGGCGATGGGGGCCTGGGAGTAGTTCCCGAGCCTGCAGGCGCCGGCCGCCCCCCGAACTAGAGCCCTCCGCTCCCGGGCGGCCCACGGCCTGCTCTGATATCCTGGGGTGAAGCGGATTGGGGACTCAGAGAAGGAAAGGGGAGGAGTTCTCACCTTGGGAGTTGGGAAGAAGGGATCGGGTCTGGGGGCGGGGGGAGGGGGGGAGAATGGGCGCCATGGCTATGCTTATAGAAGGAGCAGAAGGTGGATCTTAGACAAACACTTCCACCTTCTCCAAGCGATTCCGAAGACATTTGTGTCTGATTTCTAGCTCCTCTGTGCATACGGTGGCCTGGGATAGTTCCGTGTTTTTATTTTCACTGATGTGAAAGGGGAGATGTTAATTACCCAGGAATGTATTGATGTATGACTTGAAAATAATATATTGCTTGAGTAGTGTAATCAAGCACATTTACTAGTATACTAAAGAGGAAAATAAGCAGTATTTTAAAAGCAGAACAGGGTTTCTGTCACAACCCTGTGATCACCACCTTTGCCTTAACCTTTGGCTACTGTCTGTCGCTAAGATGAGCACCCACCGTTCCTCTCCTTTTGACCCTGAGCGTCGAGTCCGGAGCACACTGAAGAAGGTCTTCGGGTTTGACTCTTTTAAGACACCTTTACAGGAGAGTGCGACCATGGCTGTAGTGAAAGGTAACGAGGCCACGCTACCTGTGTTTACATTTACCCCGGCTGTACCAGAGCACTGCCGAGGACACCCTCCTTCTGACCCTTCCTACCTCCAGCCTTGGTCCATAATTGGCTTTGGAAATCGGAGAGACGCCAAACTTGAAGTTTTATGGGCAGAACCACCCAACTGCTCTGTTTCTTAATTTCATAGCCAGAGCTGCAGACTATCTTTGAAAACAGGTCATAGAGGCCCATTAGTTTGTGTGGGAGTGGCAGGAAAGGCCTCAGCCAGTCGCTGACCTAGGTAGTCCCTTTGTTAAAGATTGAGTGGCCTGGGTCCCAACTAGGGAAGGAAGGATTCATAATATTATAAACTTGAGATTTGTTGACAAATGGAGGTTGCCAAGAGGGGAGCAGCTGTGGAAAGTTAACTACACTGTAATGTTTATAAACAAGACATCTAAATGATGTTGCTTCCACGTCTACGCAGATATGCGCACTCATGTGGCAGTGTCATCTTTCATGGCTACTTAGTTCAATCTTCTATATCCCAGCAGACTCAGACTTCTTGACGTTGTAGTTATTGCCATGATCAGAAATGGTTTGTGTGCTTTCCCAAATGTCCCTGTACCCCTTTTCATAGAAAGGATGGGAAGGGAATTAAGACTATATTGACACCCCCCCCTCCGCATGTACCAGACACTCTGCTAGGGCTTTTCCTACATTCTCATTTAATTTTCAACAGCTTCGATGAAGGAAAGATAAAAGGCAGAAAGCACTGAGATGCTGTCTTGTATTTTTTCAGGTGACAAGGACGTTTTCGTGTGCATGCCCACAGGGGCAGGAAAATCCCTCTGCTATCAGCTCCCTGCTCTGCTGGCCAAAGGCATCACCATCGTCATCTCTCCCCTCATTGCACTGATTCAGGTGAGGCTTAGGGAAATGAAGATGCCGGCCCAAAACGGTTAGGGGAAGGTTGTTTATAGCTGGAAATTTCACTTCTGCTTTCTTTGGTCTTTTGCCTCTTACATTCTCTCATTTGCTTATCCCCCTCTCTGTATTGGGTTTCCGAATTGCCCGTACGTGGGCTTCTCCACTAGTGCATGGTACTGTGTGGTCGCTTACCTTCCTATGTTACTTTTTGTCCAGACGAATACGGAACTGTCTCATGCACACTCATGCAGATGGCTGGATTGCTGAATTGATGGGGGATCCTGGTGTCCTGCTTTATCCTGGCAAGGGCGCACCTATGATAGAAAAAGCAATGAGAGGCCGATTGGGATGTTGTTAACACCTGCCCTGCACTTCTGACTATATTTAAGGCCTGCAAATGGGGTGCTAGAATCAGAAATGAGGAAGTGTAGCCATGTAGTTAAGAGCTATCAACTGTGAAGAAAGAGAGAGACAGGGAAGAACGATGAGAGCGCTAAATGAGTGATTGCCAGGGCTTTGTGCTGGTGCTTCATGCGCATTCACTACACCTTTGAGATGTACGATTTCATTCTCACAACAATCCTATTAGGTGTCACTGTATTTATAGGAGAGAGAGAGAAAGAGAGTGAGAAAATGGACAGGCTAAGGTTAAGAACCAGCCCAAGAGCATGTGGCAGGTAAGTGAGCCAGGATTAAATCCAGGTCTGCCTGCCCTGCCGGCGTGGCTCAATGGTTGAGAGTTGCCCCATGAACCAGGAGGTCACAGTTGATTCCCGGTCAGGGCACAAGCCTGATTGTGGACTCAATCCCTAGTAGGGGCGTGCAGGAGGCAGGCAGTCAATGATTCTCTCTCATCGTTGATGTTTCTGTCTCTCTCCCTTCTCTAAAATCAGTAAAAATATATTAAAAAAAAATCCAGGTCTGTCTGGCCCCAGAGCCTGTCCTCTCAACCACGTCGCCTTCAGTCCTTCTTGTAGGCAAAGGAAAGACACATTGGAGGGTGTGGGGAGGACGTTTTATGACTGGGAAACACGCCTGAGATGCTGAGGGCCGTTCACGCCCCTCCGTGCTTCTCCCCTTCTGCCCTCAGGACCAAGTGGACCACTTGCTGGCCCTGAAGGACCACTTGCTGGCCCTGAAGGTGCAAGTGAGGTCCCTGAACTCGAAGCTCTCGGCGCAGGAGAAAAAGGAGCTGCTCTCCGACCTGGAGCAGGAGAAGCCCCGGACCAAGCTCCTGTACATCACGCCGGAGATGGCGGCCTCCGCCTCCTTCCAGCCCACCCTGAGCTCCCTGGTGTCCCGCCACCTGCTCTCCTACCTGGTGGTGGATGAAGCTCATTGTGTTTCCCAGTGGGGACACGACTTCCGTCCCGACTACTTGCGCCTGGGTGCCCTGCGCTCCCGCCTGGCACATGCCCCGTGCGTGGCTCTGACCGCCACAGCCACCCCGCAGGTCCGCGAGGATGTGTTTGCTGCTCTGCACCTCAAGCAGCCGGTTGCTGCCTTCAAGACGCCCTGCTTCCGGGCCAATCTCTTCTACGACGTGCAGTTCAAGGAACTGCTTTCTGATCCCTACGGGAACCTGAGGGACTTCTGCCTTAAGGCGCTTGGCCAGAAGGCTGGGAAAGGGGTGAGGGCCCTGAGCTGGGGATTGGTTTTCTAAGACCTTTGCTGTTTCTGGCTTCCTTAGCGCAGACTAGCTGTAGCTGCTTAAAGCACAGAGGCTTGTCCCTTTGGCTTCCTGGTGTTGTCCCCTCACTGGGCTCTCCTTGTCCAGAAATGCTCTGTGGCCTTCGCAGACCTAGTCAGGGTTAGAGGGGAGGAGGCAGAGGAGTTTGGTTGGCTGGGCCCCGGGTGGGCTGAGCCGCTTCGGTCCTGCCTGTGAGGGTGGCAGAGCCCTGCTGGGTGGCCTGCCAGGGAGATGGTGGGGCTGATGAGAGACCGTGCAGAGCTCCTGGTACAGAGGCCACAGGGTGAGGGCGGATGGCTCGTTTTTCCCAGCGCTGATTTCCTTCCCGTTGTCCTGTCTTCGCCTTCAGGTGCTGTCCGGCTGCGGCATCGTCTACTGCAGGACCAGAGAGGCTTGTGAACAGCTGGCCATAGAGCTCAGTTACAGGGGGCTGAGTGCCAAGGCCTACCACGCAGGTGAGGGCCGCCGGGCTGCGTGGTCCTCTCCACTCGCGCAGGCCTCTTAGCACGTCTCTTGTTCCTGTGGATCCTGAAAAACCAGGTGGTCTTTCATCTTTTCTAGCTTCCCAGGCAGAGCTAAAGCGGTTCACTTAAATCCACAGGAAGGAGTCTAGCCAAGAATGAGGTCCAAAATGAGCGTGACTCCGGCATGCTTTCTCTTACCCCGTGCCCAGCAGCCGGGAGGAGTTGGGAAAGCCCAGCTGCTGGTGGTGTGGGAAGGGCACAGGCTTCGGAGGCCAGCGGACTTGGGTTTGAATCTTGGCTCTACCATTCATTGAGAACACAGGCCGGGGCCTTTATATTTATTGCTCAGGCTCAGAGAGGCTAAGTGCCTGGCCCGTGGTCACACAGCAGGCAAGTAATGGATTCAGGGTGTGTGTGCAGTGCCCAACAGAGTGTCAAACCCAAGACGGACCCCAAGGGAACCCCGAGGGAAATGCGAGCTCCCTTCTCCACCTTCCTCCCTTATAGGGCTGAAGGCCTCTGAGAGGACGCTGGTGCAGAACGAGTGGATGGAGGAGAAGGTCCCCGTGATTGTTGCCACCATCAGTTTTGGGATGGGAGTGGACAAAGCCAACGTCAGGTGAGCGCTGGTTCTTGTCTTACCTTCCTGATCAGGGCCTGGCTCGGGGTGGGCTGCCAGGAGGACCAGGTCCCTGGGTTCCTTCTAGCGCCAGGGGGAAGGAGGCCCCGGGGAGGGTCCCTGGTACACAGGCCACACTCTGACAGTGTCTGTGCAGCTGCTCCCAGTGTTGGCACAGCACGGTTCTGCCGTCCCCCAGGAGGTGGGCAGCACGCAGACCACCAGGCTCACTCATTAACACAGCGCCGCTCACTCACGTCTTAGCGGATGGGCCCAGTGAGGGGGGAATGAACCATCTTAACCTGCTCCCTGCGGAAGTCAGAGGCAAGCGCTTGTTCCCATCACTGCCTGTTACTGCCTGCTGACCGGCCACAGGAGACGAGTACAGCCGGCCTCCCAGGCCCCGCTGGTGGCGGTTGGGAGTCTGACCTTGGGGAGACATTTGGGCTACAGACGGAAGCGCTGGGTTCTGAATAACACCAGCACTAACGCCGGGCATGGTTTACGGAGCTCTTCTGCCTACACGGTCTTGTTGAGACGCACAGCGACGCTGAGTTGGTCAGGGTAGGAATTAGTCTGTGCACTGCATTTGAGAGGACACGGACTTTATTTTTTTATGTTATAGATTTTTATTGATTTTACTGGAGTGACATCAGTAAATAAGATTATATACAATTTCAAGGGTGCAGCTCTACAACACATCATCTGTCTGCTGTATTGTGTTCACCACCCAAAGTCCAGCCTCCTTCCGAGCACGGACCTGGGCACCAGAGCTTGGATGCTGGGTTGGCTGTGTCTTGTTAGGGGCCAACTTTGAAGTCAGGCACCCCCAGGCTCAGATCCCAGCTCTGCTGTCCCCTTGCTGTGTCACCTTGTACAGTTCACCTCTGCATCTCAGGCTCGTTGTCTCTGAAATGGGGCTGCCTCCCATGATGGTGACTGTAACAATTCAATGAGACAAATACATACCCTGGTTCCTAGTAGGTACTTAATGGTACTTCCCTCTCCAGAGAGATTCACAAGGACTTTTTCAAGGCCGAGGGGCTCATCAGTGGCCTGATCTGATTTGTTTGTTTAAGTCCAGGATGTTTTTTCCCACGGGACCTCTGACCGAGCGTTTTTGTTCCTCATGTGGGTTGGAATGGCCCCTTTCCTGCTATGGCTCTGACCTGGGCTGCTCCGGGGCAGGGAGGCCTGCCGATGGACTGCAGGTGTCCTGTCCATACTTCGCCCTGGGGTCCTCGCTGCCTGCTCGCCCACCCAGCCCTGCTCACTGTGGAGAGCCCGGCTCCCCTGCTCAGAATCGCTCCTCCCCTCAGGTCTCCTGCCACGCCTCATGCCGCTTGCCCCTTTGGGTCCACAGGTTCGTCGCCCACTGGAATATTGCCAAGTCTATGGCTGGGTACTACCAGGAGTCTGGCCGGGCGGGCAGGGACGGGAGGCCTTCCTGGTGCCGCCTCTATTACTCCAGGAACGACCGGGACCAGGTCAGCTTCCTGATCAGGAAGGAAGTAGCAAAACTCCAGGTAAGTCCCAGGCAGTAGGAGCCCTTTCTGTCCGAACTCACAACTTTCCGATTTTGCGCAGCTTATATCTGAACTCAGATGGAGATTCTGTCAGCTAGAGGGGCGCTCCTGGGCTAGACCGTATAGCAAGGGGGAATTGTATGTTGGTCGATGGGCATTGCAACAAGCGAGGTTAGACTTTTGTTCTTCTTAAGATTTTTAAATTGATTTTTAGAGAGGGAGGGAGAGAGAAACATCCACGTGAGAGCAAACATCAACCATCTGCCTCCTGCACGCCCCCTACCAGGGATCAAGCCCACAACCCACGCGTGTGCCCCGACAGGAAATTGAATTGGCAACCTTTCAGTGCATAGGACAGCGCCCAACCAACTGAGCCGTACCAGCCAGGGCTAGACTTCTTTATGTTAATTTATCTTAGTACTGTGCATGTTACTTTACATACTCAAGATCAGTCCTGCCTTGTTTTCATCAGCATTGTTACATAAGCATTTTCTCATATTGCTACATAAGTTCTTTGTTTTTCTTTTTAGTCTTAAAAAAAAACTGATCGTACATTCTTTGTACAGAGCCTAGAAAGAGACCCATGTATATAATTTCCTTGTTGGATAAGGAAAATTGATGTAAGACAGGTAGCATTGTAAATCAATAGAAAAAGGATGAACTGTTGAATAATTGGTGCTGGAAAAAGATAAAATTAAATTCCTACCTCCCATACCGTACATATATGAGTTACCAATGGATTAAAGACCTCAAAAAACTGTAAGAATGGGGAGAAATACTTTATGGCCTTGAGGAAGGGAAGAGAATGTCAAGATTTTAAAAGCAGAAACCATCAAGGAAGATACTCTTATTTGACTAAATTCAAACTAAAAATTTCCATATAGCAAGAGACACCATAAACACAGTGATAAAGGAGCCATTGGGGAAATATTTACAACATAAGTGACTGAGCATGTAGGGAACTCTGACAGGCGAGTGAAAGGCAACAGCTGAGAGCGAGAAGTTTCCTCCGAGTGTCACAGGGAGGAAAGCGGACTCTAGTGAGCGTGTGAAGAGATGCTCGCCGTCACGGAGGGATGGGAGAAACGCAGACTAGACGACGAGCTGTTTTACCAGACTGGCCGAGACGTAAGCCCTCTCTGTGGGGATGTGGGAGAGGGTACCTCACAGTGTGTCAGGAACGTAAACTCGTACGACTGCTCTGAAGAGAGAGGAGGTGACGACGCGCACGTGGAGGATGCTGTGCTCTGTGATTCGGTAGCTCCACGTCTGCAGAGACAACCGGTCACGTGTACAGGGATGCACAGGGATGTTGGCTGCAGCACCTAATGTCAATTAGACTCTTTCTCTGTAGAGTGTTGGATAAGAAAACAGTGGGTTAGTCACAGTGGAATGATCTTGAACAGAGAAAAATGACCCAGGAAATCTACATGAATCAACATGGATAAAGCATAATGTGTGAAGTTGCAGAAGAATACATGTAGATTTTTCCTAAAGAAAGATGAAATACAAGTGCTTATTCCCAGTTCGCACTAAAATGACAACATAATGACTACACACACACACACACACACACACACACACACACACACACACACTTGCAGGGACAAGGAGAACAGGAAAGACACCAGGGGGTAGAAATGTCAATGCATGTCTGCCCATTTATAAGGAAACCTGGCAAGCCCTAGCTGGTTTGGCTCGATGGATAGAGCGTCGGCCTGCAGACTGAAGGGTCCCAGGTTCGATTCCAGTCAAGGACATGTACCTTGGTTGCGGGCACATCCCCAGTAGGGGGCATGCAGGAGGCAGCCGATCAATGATTCTCAACATTGATGTTTCTCTCCCTCTCTGAAATCAATTAAAAAAAGAGAGAGAGAGGAAAAAAAACCTGGCAAGATGGATGAATGTAAGAATATTTTACATATTTTTAAAAGCAACAGCTTTTGCCCTAACCAGTTTGGCTCAGTGGATAGAGCGTCGGCCTGCAGACTGAAGGGTCCCGGGTTTGATTCTGGTCAAGGGCATGCACCTTGGTTGCGGGCACATTCCCAGTAGGGGGCGTGCAGGAGGCAGCTGATCAGTGTTTCTAACTCTATCCCTCTCCCTTCCTCTCTGTAAAAAATCAATAAAATATATATATATTTTAAAAAAGCAGCAGCTTTTCTCTGCGTTAGCATCAGTACCTAGGAATGGAAATGAAAAAGAGACCATAAACTAAATAGTAGATCTGAAAAAATATAGAACGTGGAAGGCAAACAGAAGGCTGGAGTTGAGAATAAATAGAGAGCTTCCACCCACTGGCACAAAACAAAGGACGTGAGAAAAGCTCATCCAGAGATGTTCACTCATCAGCGATCACATAAATGCAAATTTAAGTAAAAGATTTGGCACGTGTGTTAACGGCTCTAACACGCTTCAGTGGCCTGGGGATGGCCCGCGTCCCTCCTAGTTACCCAGGTAATGCTCATGCGCGGTCAGGCTTGGGGCCACTGTTTGGTAAGTGCCTTTCTTACTCTCATTTGATGTTTTTCTCAGCATTTTTTGAGCTACAAGGTAGTTCACCTCGGTAAGACTTTTGCTAAATGGTAGTTGCCTTTTTTTTTACTGAATTTATTGGGGCGACATTGGTTGATAAAATTATTTAGGTTTCAGGCATACAGTTCTGTAATAATCTGCACATTGTGCTGTGTGTTCACCACCCCAAGTCGCGTCTTCCTCCATTTGTCCCCCCTTTCCCCTCTCCTGCCTCCCCCACCCCCTTTCCCTCTGGTAACCACCCCAACCAATGGTCGTTTCTTGTCTCCAGGAAAAGAGGGGGAACAAAGCGTCTGATAAAGCCGCCCTCCTGGCCTTTGAGGCCTTGGTGACCTTCTGTGAAGAACTGGGGTGAGTGACTTATGCGCGTGTTTCTGAACAAAACGTGACTGAGATCTTTTCCTCGCCCCACACCCACTCGTCAACCAGCTAACTCAGGGCCACTCTCGGGCCACCAGGGGACCCTGCCTGCATGGGGTGTGTCCGGCCAGGCAGCCTGGGAGTTGGGCCCCTTTCTTTCGTGGAAAGCCCCAGAAACTGACAGCGCGAGGACTCGGTGAATCTTGGGTAGTCGTCCATCCACCCTACTTTATCCCCTTCTGGAATGGGTGGCCCCATGAGCAACTCAGTCCTGAGCCGTTGGCGTTGTGGTCATCACATGCCACTGAGCAGGGCCTCTGGCTTCACTGGAGGAGCCCCCTTAGCCTGGACGCGAATGGGCATGTGGCGGCGGGCTTATCTCTCGGCGGGCGTGCGTGACGGGCTTGGAGAGAAATCAGCTTTTCTCGCATCGGGCCAGCCTGCCCACTTGGAACTCACTTACCGATTTTATCTGCATCTGCTGCCCGTGGGGCCGGGAGGAGCCTGGGAGCTGCAGTGACAGGCAGGCGGCGGCGGGCAGGTTCCCAGCACAGCAGCTGTGAGCACTGTGGGCGGAACATCAGGGCGGACTCTGGACAAGCGGGGGACACCTGCACTTGTTAGCCCTTCAGTCTAAAACCCCCCTCGATCCTCTGCTTCCTCTGAGCTGCGGCCATGGGGAGCGTGTGGTTATTCGAGGCCCGGCTCTTCACCTACTAGTGTCAGGAGGAATGGTAATGAGGTTTGAAGCGACCTCCGGCCTCCAGGCCTCCCTGTGTTTAGGCCTAGATTGAACTGGGCTCTGGGGAGCCGTGCGGGACACAGTGGTGAGCACAGAGGGACCTGCTTTTATGGGGCTCGGCTCAGTGAGAAAGACAGACGCTTATCAGAGAATCACATAAAATGTATAATCCAGACTGTTAAAGGGGCTTCGAGGGAAAGGCCCACGGTGTTTGGAGAGTGTCGAACAGGTGGCCCCCCTTGGCCCCCCGAAAGTCAGGTCATGACTCTTCAGGCTGGTCGGCCTTCTCAGCCGGAGGGAGAGCCCCAAACACAATGGCGAACAGCATGAGCAGCAGGACGGTGATGAGGAATATGCTGATGACGGCCAGGCCCCCCTGGTCCCAGGGGTTCTGCCAGAACTCTTCCTTCCAGAGGCGCCTCTGGTCTGTTAGCAGTGGATCCATGTGGACCTGTGAAGGGGACAGAGGCACTGAGTGCAGGGCCTCTCCAGGCCCTGCCCCAGGCGCTGCTGTCCACCCCCACCCCGTCCCCACCCCCAGGTTCACCCGCTGGGCCATCTCTGAGAACCACAGGCCCCGTGCTCGGCTGGCAGACTCTGACGTGAAGGGGGTCTCTGGGCTCCATGCCTCCTGTGGAAACGGGTGAGGGCTGGCACCCCCCAGGGGCCTTTGGGTCCTGTGGAGGCCACCTCTGGATTCTCAGAGATGTGAGCAAGGATTCCTCTCCCAGGCTGAGACCTACTCCGCTAAAGCTTCGCTCTAGACCCTATTTTTCTTGCCTCGATTGCCAAACGTTGGAAGCGTTTTGAGAGAGCAGCATGGCTGCGGAGCTGAGACTTCTGGAAACTTCCTTGGAGGCAAGCCTGTAGCCAATAGAAGGGAGTCAGGGCTGAGAAGGAAGGCGTCTTACCTGACTCTGCTGTTAACACTCCCGAGTCCTGAGAGGGCGGATGGGGTGACCCTTAGGGGCCCACACTTTGGGGGACGAGCTGGAGAGGCCAGCAGGTGACCAGAGCGGTGCTCTGACTCAGAGAAGCAGCTGATGGGAGGAAAAGGTGTCCTCAGTGCCAGGTGGCCCTGACCAGACCTCACTGCTGTCACAAAGGTGACAAAGGTGGGCCAGAGCCTGTGGCCTAGCAACCTCTGGTCCCTTTCTGCCTTTCACACTTACTCCCTCCGCTGCATTCTGTCCTTCTCTGATGTCATGGGGGGGGGGGGGGGGCGCTGCTCAGGGCACACGTGTGGAGATGTCCTCGCTAAGAGAAGTCAGACTTGGGGTGAGTAGGGGAAGAGACTGGAGTCAGGGCCCTTGCCCCGGGCCTTCCATCCACCTCCCAGAAGCGGCTCCTGCCTCCCCTCTCGGTCTGGATGACGTGGCCTGAAAGGACCTGCCCAGGGCTCAGAAGCTCAGGGGCTGGAACCACCCCTCAGGCTCCCTCCTGTGGTGCAGGGCGAATGGGTAACTGCGCCTCCTGCTGGCACCTCCTGGAACTCATTTCTGGGTGGAAGAGCCTCCCATGGAGGCTCTGGGTGCTGTGAGCCTTTGTCTGCAGCTGCTTTGTGTGGTTGGTTCCCACCCACTGGTGTGACAGGCAGCTAGGAAGTGGGAATGGGCCGGTGCCCTGGCATGTGATGCCTGGCGGCCACCACTCACTCCACAAGTCAGGTGTCAAGCTCCGCTGTGCCAGGCGCTGCTGCCCAGCATGAATCAGAGGCAGGCCCCCTCCCAGAGCTGACATTCTAGCGCCCTGTCCTCACCCTGCTTGTAGGATCATCTAGGAGCTTTTCTAAGTGCCCGTGCCCAGGCCCCATCTCATGCCACTGACGTCACTCTGGGCGTGTCAGCCCCCTGCTTCGTAGAGCTGGCCAGGTGATTCGGATGCGCAGCAGGTGCAAGGAGGTGGGGGAGGAGCAAGTCCCTCTTAGCAATCATGGGCTTAATTGACCCAGGCCGACCTGACTAATGCCCTTGGCCTGCTGACCGCTCCCAGCCTGTGGGCGGGTCTCTAGGATGCCCTTGTACTTCCGCTCCGTCTGTGAAGCTGATGCTTATCAAGAACCAGCTGTTTGTTACAAACCTGTTTGTGGCCGTTGTCATTGTAATTACGTAATTACAGTCCGTCACCGGTGACTGACACTACACTTTCCGTCCAGAAGACAAAACAGGCTGGGCGCTTAACGTGTTAATAGTACGTGAAAAATGAAGCAACAGGGATAGCCGAAAGCCCGGTTTTACAGCTGGGACAGGCACGGTCATACAGCCGGGGAGCAACTGCGCTGGCTGTGAACTCCGCTCCGCATCTGAGCTCCGAAGCTGTGCGGACCTCAGTGAGTGGGGAGCCGTGGTTTCCGTCAGTACCTCTCTGACCACTTTGGCATGATTCTGGAATCACTCACCTAATGTTCCTGCCCATGTGCCACCTTGGTGTGGACGACTGGAAACGTTTTGTAAAAATGCAGGAGGAGCTCACACTGGTGTCTAAATTCTTGTTCTGCTTCCACGAAACCAAACGAGACAATCCCGGAGCTCTGGCCACACTGACCAGGAGAAGACCCTGGCCCTCCCTGTGGCAGGAAGACCATCGCTTTCACCACCTCTTTTAGTCAGTTGCTGGCAGATCAGAACATTCTGCTGAAGGGACCACCATGCAGAGAAGTGGGCTGGGAGGGGGAGAGGGGGAGGGTGCTGTTGGTGCTGGTGGCAGCGCCTGGCCTGGGCCTGAGGGGCCGCCCCTGGAGGAGAGAGGTTTGCGTGGAGACAGGGAGACGGTGTCAGAATTAGAATTGGGAGTCGGGGTTCTGTGGCAGGCGCCAGGCCCCAAGGACAGGGAGGGAACTGTTTTCAAGGACAAATTAATTTGCCTCAGTGTTTTATGGTCTGGAACTGGTATTAGCCACAAGCAAATAGGTTCGCCGCCGTGAAGATTTGGTTGTGGATTGCTTTCGTAGTTAATGTTTGAGAGGCAAGTTGCAGGACCAAACCGGTTTGCAGGCTCTCCGCCACAGTTTGCGAATGAGACTCCTGCACGGGTGGCGTCATGGTGGCGTCTGACAGTGAAATGCACGGGCCTTACGTGCAGACTGAGGCCCTTTTGAGGAACCGAGAGCACAGAGGCCACAGAGGGGAGGCACGAAGCCTGACGGGCGATGCGGAGCCGCCTCAGACACGGCCGCAGTGACCGCAGGCAGGCGTCGGCGGGGGCTCCGTCCAGGGGGCTGCGGTCCAGAGGGGAATGGAGAAGTGCTGGGTCTGGCCGCGCCCTGGAAGGGGCGGCCTTCAGGTTGTCCCACGATGGGGGTATTGCTGCCACCTCTCCATCCCACCTGTCCCAGAGAGACCCAGGCTGGGAGCTGCCCACCAGGAGCGTGCAGGCTGCTGTCGCTGGCACAGGTCTGGGTGGGATTGAAGCCAGCCTGGGGCTTGGCCCAATTGGCGGGGTGGGGTGGGGTGGGGTGGGGAGGGCTCAGGGTGCGCCCCTTTGCCAAGGAATGGGGAGGAGCCAGCCCCCTGAGGACAGGGACAGTGTCTTGTTTGGACACAGCAGTTAGGTACTGTCTGGCCTGGAGGAGGAAAATGCAAATAAACCAGCCAGCCCCGTGGCCTCCACCTCTTGGCAGCTGGACCAGGAAGCTAGAATCTTTTCTAACAAAGAGGTTCAGGCCCGGCCACCCTCAGGAAGGGACACCATGATTTTTTTTTTAATGTGGAACGTTTCACGAATTTGCATGTCGTCCTTGCGCAGGGGCCATGCTAATCTTGTCCGTGTCGTTCCGCTTTCAGTGTTTGTGCAGCCAAAGCGAGCACGGGAAGGGACATCCTTGCTGTGGGGGAAAACTTGCTTAAGAAAAAGTCGCACGGGGACTGGGCGCTGTGCTGTTGGAGCAGCTCCTGGACCGGGGCTTCCTGGGGACCCTCCAGCCGGGGAGGGTGGCGGTGGTGCAGGGACTGAGGGAGGCAGGGCCCCCCTCCCGCCCCTCCCACCTTCCTCCTGGAGTTTTCCTTCGGGAGGGAGACGCGGCTGGGCCCCACCCGCTCACAGGAGGTTATTCTGAGACAGTTCAGGGTTGGGTGTTTGGGATGTGGGGCTGGTTGGTGGAGGTAATGGATCAGAGCCTTCGCTCTGGGAGGCCCTGGGCTGGGTGTGGCAGTGGGGGCTCTGCAGCCGGCGGGCTGGGCCCAGAGGTGGCTCTGCCACTTTGCAGCTGGTTGAACGTAGACAAATTATCTAGTGTCACTAAGGTTCAATTTCCTCTTTAAAATGTGGTACTAGTGTCACCTACAGCGTTGTCATTGCGCTGATTACATGAACTTACCTGCAGCCAAACTCTGAAGACAGTGCCTGAGCGTGTGCAGTGTGAGCCCTCAGCGGGTCTCTGTGGCCTTTATAGCCATACCATCATCATTGTTGTCATCATTCTGAATCCCATTCTCCGGGGGGCGGGGTTGAGGATACAGGCAGATTCTTGGACTTCTTTTATTTTGTACAGAAGCACTTCCTCTCTGAATCTTCCATCGAAACCAAACCCACAAGTCCCTGGACACCAGGAAGTGGAACTAGCCAGAGAGCTTCCCCGCCCGCCTGCCAGCTGGAGGGGGTGGTGGTGGCAGGGCTGGCATCCCCTCCCCACCCCCCCCCACCCCGTTTCCTGGGCCACGGGCTTCTGCCCTCAGGCGGCCAGAGCATGGGCTGCCCAAGATGACAGGCATGTGCAAAGTGCGGACCTCTTTATGGCCCTGGGGACCAGCGGGGGCGGAGGGGAGGTGCCCTGGGAGCCTCTGCCTCCCCTGCCGTCACCCTGGGTTCGCACCCACGTGCCATGTTCTCTGGAAGAGAGAGCGGACTGAAGTGGAGGCAGGACATCTGCGGAGCTCTTGTGACAAGTGCCCGACAGGTCATCTTAGGTCACCCCGCGAGCGCACCCCGGGAGGCAGGGACCAGGACTAGCCCATTTCCCAGGGAGAAAGCGCGGCTCGGGAAGGTCGCATCACTGACCTGCATTCCCACAGCTGGAGTCCTGGGGCGAGGGTTTGAACCGGGCAGTCGGGCACACAAGCAGGGAAAGGGCGAAGGGTCGGGACGCAGGTGTGGGCAGAACTGGGGCCCGGCCCCTCTCTTACTCCGGCAGTTGGGGGAGACCAGAGGCCTGAGCCTCTAGCGAGAGGGTGCAGGCTCCAGTTAATGGCAGTGACAACTGGTAAGTGGCGTTTCTGAGCCAGCACCTGCCTGGGACACACGCTGCGTCCATCGCTGCCCAGTGGGCGTCTGGGAGCCAGAGCTCGTCAGCAGCTGGTGCTTGACAGGCATCGCCCTGCACCCGCCACTGGTTCCGCAGCATTCCCGCCTGGTGGCCCGCCAGCTTTCACGGCACAGGGAGCGCGCTGGTCACGCCCCTGGTGCTCGGGCACGTGGCGCTGCTCATGCACAGAGCCCAGCCCAGCGAGTCTGATGCCCAGAAACATAGAACGAAAAAGCTTTTACTGGAAAGAAACAGGCAGATACTGGACTGGGATATTGACAGGCGCCCTCTCCGGCGGGGAGCGTGGGCCCAGGGGCTCTTGCACTAAGTCCCCGCGACTGGGCAGCTCCTTTTTGGCGTGGTCAGCAGAACCCCAAGGCCAGCTCCCCCGGGTGCGGGCTGTTCTCCGTCGAGGTTTGGGGACCCCGCTTCCGTGTTTTGTTAAAAAGTGCGGGTAGGCCAAGATCCCCGGCGGTTTACTCTGTCCTTGAAATGGTGACTCCTCCTTGGCACCGCGCTTTCGGCAGGTGGAGGTCCTGTGACTACAACGGCCCTTGTTTCCTGGACAAGCCCCCACGTGCCGCGTCTGGTTCCTGGGCGGGGCCAGAGCTGTGACAGTGGACTTGGTCTCGAGGAGTCAGGGCTGGGGGGCCAGGCCGACGCCCGGGCGTGGTGTCAGCCTCCTCTCCAGCTTCTCGGTCAGCTCTCCGTCCTCATGGCGGGGACACGGGCCGCACCTGGGCCTTCCTGGCCCTGGGCTCGGGGCAGCAGCACTGGGTGCAGCAACAGCTACAGGCGACCAGCAGCAGCAGCAGCACGGTGCCTGGAGGGTCGGGGAGAGGCAGAGGGCACAGAACTCCGAGGTGGGAAGAGGAGGAACGCCCCCCTCTTCCCAAGAAGCCCCTCTGGAGGTGTGGCGGGCCTCTGCCTGCAGCCGGGCACGCTGGGCAGAAATTCCCGAGGATCTCCATGCCGGCTGCTGGAGCCCGGACCTCCTCCCTGTAGTGCCTTCTCTGCCTCCCGGAGCTCCGGTCCCTCCATCCCTGGGGCAGGATGCTGGGTGCCTCTGGTCCCAGCACCACCCAGCCCAGCCCCTGAGGCATGTCCCCGGACCAGGGGAAATGCCTTGTTTCCCCCCAAGAGACATCTGCTTCCCCTCCTCTGCCTGGGAGACACCAAGCCACTCTGCCAGCCCTCCGGCCAGCACCGTGGGTCTCCCTACTCCGCCAGCCCTCTAGCCAGCACCGTGGTCTCCCCTACTCCACCAGCCTTCCGGTCAGCACCGTGGTCTCCCTACTCCACCAGCCTTCCGGTCAGCACCGTGGTCTCCCTACTCCGCCAGCCCTCCGCCAGCACCGTGGTCTTCCCTACTCCCGCCAGCCCTTCCGGACAGCACCATGTTCTTGGCCTCCCGGTGGCCGGGAAGAGCGGAGGAGAACCCGAAGAGCCCCGACTGACCTTGTTGAAGAGGAGATGACCGAGAAAGGCCACGATCTCCACGGCTCCGCCTGGCGGCACCGCGTGTAGCTTGAGCAGCAGCCTCTTCACCCACCAAGCGCATCTCCTGCACGAAGTCGGTGGCCCCCATGCTGGTCAGCTCCCGGGTTCCTGCCGGCTCTGCTGCAGAGAGAGCACCTGAGTCCCCGCGGGCGGGCGGCTCCGAGAATCCACCCTCCCGCTCCCTGCGCCCGCAGAACGAGTTTGTCAGGTCTCACCCTCTCGCTCAACCCCTGGTGGCTCAGGAGGGAGGGAGCTCATGGCCCCCTGCTCAGTGGTGGCCCCCAGCCCCCTAGAGCTGGGCACGGGAGGGGTCTGCCAGCTGCCAAGGTTGGCCATTGTGTCTATGTTGGGGTGACTTCACGCTCACATGGCTTGGTCTCAGACACCAGTCCTAGGTTTTGCAGTGGCCCTGGGTCACTCAGGACTGGGGTACCGGCAGGGAGAATGGGGGGGCCAAAGGGAAGGGCCAGCTGTGCCTGCAAGTTGGGCGTGATGTGGAGCAGAGGTCCCTGCCCTCCGCCTCACCTGCGGCCACAGGGAGCCCCTCCTCTTAGGACAGGCCCGGCGACAGTGTGCCAGCCCAGCCTGAACCTGCTCTCCAAGGCAGCTCTAATGCCAGGGCGGCTAACAGGTGGCTGGGGACTGGTGCCAGACCTTGGGCTCTAGCGACTGCCGCTGCGTCCCGATGTCAGCCAGGGGTTCTCCCGGGGTGGCTGCCATCTGCGAAGCCCGTCACTCCCATGGTGCCACCGCACAGCCTCCATAGAGCTGCCCTCTGCCCTAGGCCCCCTCCCGCCTCCCTGTGCTGTGCAGCCCTTGCTTGAGCCCCTCGGGGTGAGGAGGGACCCACAGCGACCACAGCCCGCCCGGTCCTTCTTGGGCAGCTCGGACTGTAGAAGGCGGGGCCTCGTGCTGTGGTCACTTAGGACACCTGTGCCCTCTCTGCCTCGTCCCTCAGACCTGCGTCTCCTCCTCCAAGTCATCTCTCTGGCGGTTTCGCCAGCTGCCCACCGTGGCTCTGTCCTGTCTTGCATTTGAAGCTGCCCCCCTCCCTGCTTCGGCGGCGACTGATGTCTCCTCTGAGTTTCTCTCGTTACCTGAGGATGAGGTGCCAGTGTTTCGAGGCTGTGGGAGGACTGGCCGCCTGGCAGCCCAGAGCCTGGCACAGGGAGGAGCCCAGCACACGGGACTCCCCCTGGGTGGGGTCTGGCCAGCGCAGGAGAGTTAAGGTGGCCTTTGGGGGTGGTGACCTTCCTCCAGCACCTGGGGAGTTTCATCTGCGTCCTTCATTCTGGAATGTTTGTGGCGTGTGAGGGGGAGGAGGGGAGGCAGGCTGGAGACGGAGCCGTTTTAAGTGATGCTGGGGTGGCAGGCAGCGATGGCTCCGTGGGAAATTAGCTGCTTTCCTGTCAAAAGCGGGTCCTGTCAAAAGCGGGACCTTCCTTCTCTCAGCCCCCGCAAAGGCGATTGGGATCCAGTTCTCAAAGGTGCGAAGGCTCGGACTCCCAGAATGCCACAGGCCATCACTCCTGCCTCCTTTCTTTTACAAATGGGGAAACTGAGACCCGAGAGAGGAAGTGACTTCCCCCGAGGTCACCCGGCCGGACAGGTCTGACCAGCCCCCTGTGCTGCCCCACCCTGTCTCAGTGGAGGCCTGTCTTGGGCAGCTTCCTCTCTGACCAGCAAGATAAGTCCGCCCACGGGCAGCTCACCGAGGGCCCTGCCCAGCGGGGGGGCTCGGCTCAGTGCCCTGGGCCCTTTGGGAGCTGGTGGACTCTGCAGGAGCAGCCCTAGCCCACCCTCGTGGGCCCGGGACCCTGCTTCCACCAGGCCCGGCTCTCAGAGGCCCAGGCCACACCTGCTCTGTGAGAACCACCTAAGGGACAGATCTGGCATGTCTTTGTGTCTCAGGTCCTCCATATTCCGCCCAGAGCTTAGTACCTCTCTCCTGTGGTCACACTGAGCAGCGTCCCCCATTGACGGTAGAGCAGGCTCCTCCCTAGCTCCGAGGCCTGTGGGCACCCCCCCTCCAGGTTCCCACCCTCGGGTCTCATTCCAGGGGGGAGTGCACAGGGTTGAGGAGCTGTTCTCCCTCCCTCTTCGTCCACACTGGGTAGGTGCGGCTTTCTCAGCCTGATTGGCCCGGTGCCTGCACAGCCTAATGTATCCATCAGACAGGCTCCTTGAAAGAGGTGGACGGAGGGCAGGGGGAGCTCTTCCGCTGGTGCTCCCACCCCCAAAGCCCCAGGAGGGCTCCGAGGGTGTGGCACGGAGACCCGGCCAGTCAGAGGGCGTGGCCTCCGGGCGGGGAGGAGGAAGGTTGCCCAGGTTGGGAAAGACGGGTTTTGTTGATCAGAAGCCTCAGCTCTAAAGTCAGCCGTCCTCCAGGGATGTCTGAGTCCTCCAGGGATGTCTGACGTCAGAGAGCACAGACTCCCGCCCGGAGGACCTCGCCCCCTCTGGGAGGACTGGGTCCGCAGCAGCAGCAGCAGGCGTGGACCTGGGTGGCATCCTGGCTTTGCACCCAGGGCCTCTGGAGCCCAGAGCGTGCCAGCCTCGCCCAGTCAGGGCTGCTCCCTGAGTCCCATCTGCGCCCGGAACAGGAGTGGGGCTGCTGGACGCGGCTCTTCTGGCCTCAAGACCGATAGGAGCCCCTGGCTTTTCCGTTGCGGCTTTGCCATCTCCAGCTTGGGCTTGAGCAGGAGCCTCAGTGGGGACCACCGGGCGCTGGAGGGGCCTCTTTCCTGGGAGGCGGCGGCACATTCCAGGAGGTCCCAGGCGGTCCTCCCAGTGGGCTATTTAAAGCCCAGGCCAAGGGGGCGCCTGTGCCTGGTGCCCAATATAGCCAGCAGCCGTCAGGTGACCATGGGCTGGTGCCCCAGCTGTTGCTCTGTAGGGAGCCCTACTCGAGTTTCCAGCTGTGGCCTGGGGAGATGGGGTGCTCTGGGCTGGCTGCCTCTCCTCCCGGTACCTTCCCAGGTCGGAGGGAGGGGGGCAGGCAAGTCTAGTGGGGCTACTGAGAATTCTCCGTTTTTCTGATCTCTCTGTCTCAGGTCCAGCAAACTCTTTCTAAAACTGTACCTTCTGCCTATGAACCAGGGGACCAGAGTCCCTCCCAACCCATGCTGGGGGGAGGCCGGGAGGGGGGAGGGAGCGGCAGTTAGAAGCAGCCAGAGCAAGCGTTGGCCCTTGGACCTTCCCAGGGTGCTCCCCACGGGGAGCGGCTGTCGGCGGAGGGGAAAGTGAGCAGGGCAGAGAGCAAGGCTGGCAGAGCCGGACGGACCAGGAAACATTCCTTTGTGTGTCATTTAAACAGACAACCTTGCCACAGGGTGGCCAGGCATCCAGACACCTGCCACTCGGGACACAAGCTTCCCTGTTTCCTCCTCGCAAAGCTGACACTCCAGCTCCCAGGGGAAGCAGGCGGGCGTGTTTGTGACTGATAAGTACAGTCCTTGATGGCGCAGGGCCCCCAGGGCTTCTGGCTCAGCGCCTGTTACTGTTAGGGGGGTTGTAGCCACCTTGCCCCGGGGCATTGTCTTATTGGAGAAAGAGCTAGAATGAATAATAACCTGAGTGTGTGGGAGGTCTGTGTGGCCAGCAGGGCAGAGGTGCCCCTGTGTGCCGCGGGGAGCCGCCCCATGACACCCCCTTTTTGTCTCGGCTCCCTCGGACAGTGGGAAGTAGACACTGGTCCCTCCCTCCCCCACCTTACCCGCTGCCTCTAACACAGCCCCAGCGTCTTGTCTCTTCTGCCCTTCGCTGTAGGACCCTGTAGTCTCCCCAGCCACCAGCCAGGCCAAAGCCCACACTTGGGCCGATCCTTGGCGCCCCCCACCCCCACCCCCTACCCCCCGTAGCCGTAGGCCGAGTTTCTAAGTAGACACTGCCTTGTTTGCTTTGGGGAAGCATCTGGAGGGCCAGGGGGAGACTTTAACCCTGGCTGAGGCCAAGGAAGCAGGAGTCAGCCACCTGGGCAGGGCCACTCTCCATGCTGCCTGGAGGACGGGCTTGGGCACAGTGTTACCTGGTGCAGCAGCGGCCCGACACTAGGGATCCCCTCTTCCCCGCCTCCGCCCCCAACCTCAGTCCCATCGCCCTCACCTTCTCCCCACCTGGCCCGGGTTGGGAGGCTGGCCCTCTCACTCCTGGGGCAGCATTTAGGGAGATTCGGGGGCCCCGGGAGGAGCACATGAGCGGAGCCCCGGGCTGAGGACACCTGGTGGGCAGCAGGCCAAGCCCCCACGAGAGGGGGCAGCGGCGGCTCCGGTCTGGCACACAGATAGGCAGAGCTGCGTGGGTCCTGCCACATGGCGGGGTGGACCTTGCCCTGAGCCTCCTGGGCTGGGGAGAGCAGGCCAGGGAGGCGCTGCCTTGGTCCTGGGAAAGGGAGGCTCAGTGGGCAGGCGACATTCCTCTCCCAAGCCCGGGAGCCAAATCCCTCGTGTAAGCCCCTGAATGGAAAAAGCTTAAACTAATTTGCAGAGCAAGCAGGCACCCTGGCCCCTCGGCCTGCTCAGCAAGCAGGCAGGAAGCCACCCTCCAGGAGGCTGCAGCCTCGCGCGTCCCCGGTGCTGGGAGACTGCAAGCAGGGAGAGCCCAGGTTGGAACTGGAGGCCATCCGCAGACTGTGACCAAGTGTGTCCCCCGTGGTAAATTGTGGCCCTCCGTCCATGGGGCGGGGGACCTTGCTGCTCCCTTCCCTCCATCCCCACCCCCTCTCAGCTGTGGCCACTCACCTGGGATCAGGTGCTGGAGCTGCGGGTGCCGCCACAGGTGCTGGGGAGCCAGGCAGCCCCGGCCTCTTCTCCGGGGGCCTGTCCTCGGCCTCCCGCCACCTCGCCTCGCTTGTCACACGCCTCTTGGGTGACCCAGGGCTGCTCCCTGGATGCCTCTTCTCCTGCGAGCCAGCGAGCCGCTCTGCCGGTGCTGACAGCCAGCTGCTATCTGGGCTCCAGCTTTTTTGTTGTTGGTCGTCCAGGAGATCCAAGTGTCAAATTACACGGGGCGGCCACTGAGGGGGGAGCCGGGCCACAGGCGGGGAGCCCTGCTGAGAACTGGCCCTGCCCCGGAGGTCCCAGGAATGGGCCCGGCTCTGGGCTCTGTCTCTTGCTTGTTCCTCCTCTTCCTCTCCCTCCTGGTGGGTGTGTGCTAAGCCACGTGGGCTGGGCCTGGGCCGGGAGCTGATGAAAGAGGAGGGTTCTCAGTTCCCCAGCGGAGATGACCCCAGGGAGGTTCCCGCTGAGGTGTGGAGTGGGCAGGGAGGGAGGGAGGCCCGCAGCACGCCCAGCTCCCGGCTCCTGCCCTACCCTCAGGAGGGCCTTGGGCTCTCATCCCCCACCACCCCACCCTGCAACCTCAGGCACCTCCCTGGCTGGTCCCTCACTCCGGCCTCTCTAGGGAAAGAGTAAATAGTGGGGGGAGGTGCCAGACCACCCAAGAAGCCAGGCCCCCCCCCAGGAATTCTGGGGAAGAGCTCAGGAGTCCCGGTGACCTGGGAGTGGCGACCTGGGAGTGGCCTGTGCTTGGCCTGCTGGCTGGGGGTGTGCCTCATGTGCCTCGGGCCTGGAGGAAAGGGGACCCTGCCGGTCTCCTGGCCAAAGAGCGTGTGCTAGGCCGTCGCTGCACTCTGGGCCCGGCTGTCAGGGAGGCTCCAGAGCCCAGGCTGGGCCCTTTGACATTTGGCTGGTCGTGCCACCCAGTCAACCAGACTGTGCCTGGAACAGGACAGGAGCCCACCCCAGCCTGCATCTTTGAGCCGTCAATGGAGCCCTTTGAGTGTGAGCACAAAACCCCAGTGAGTCAGGGCTTGGGGGAGGGGGGGGGTAAAGAAGCCAACCTTGTGGCCACACCACTTGGATGCCAGAGCCTCCCCGAGGCCGGCCGGACAGGCAGCCACTGTGCCGAGGTACATGCATTACACATTGGTTTTCGGAGTGGCGTCGACAGCGCCCTCTGGTGGCCGTCTTGGCCTCCTTGCCGTCTCCAGCCATTCAGCGTGCGTCCTCCACTCAGCTGAAGGCAGCCAGACCGGCTTCCTAGGGGCTGGGAAACAGTCAGCTCTTGTTCCTGAAGCCTCTCCTCAGGGTCTCAGCTGTTAGAGGGTTTCTCCCACCAGCTGCTCTTGTCCCTGGGACGTGGCACCTGGACAGCTCTGCCTGCACACACACACACACACACACACTCCTGCAGCTGGACTGGCCATTTGTAAGGGACTTGATGGAGCTGTGAGGCTCCTATGAGATGAGTCTGCGATGCTCAACACAGTGCCGGACACGTAGCAATGCTCAGCCCGAGCCGGGACTGCCTGGGCCCTCACCCGTCTCTGCCATGTTGCCTGCTCCAGGTGCCGCCATGCTGCCATTGCCAAGTACTTTGGGGATGCACCCCCCGCCTGCACCAGAGGCTGCGACCACTGCCAGAACCCCGCGGCCGTGCGGAAGCAGCTGGACACCTTGGAGCGCAGCAGCAGCTGGAGCAAGACCTGCATCGGGCCCTCCCAGGGCAGTGGCTTCGACCCTGAGCTGTATGAGGGCGGCCGCAGGGGCTACGGGGGCTTCAGCAGGTGAGGGGCCATGAAGCCGGGGCCCCCACCCACTGGAAACGGTCTGGCATTGTCTCCCTGGTGCCATGGCCAGACCATCCTTCTGCACCAGGGGCCATGCTGGGGCTGCCAGGGCCTCGGGCATCGCTGCCCCTCCCGAGGGGGGAGGGAGGGCAAAGGCCAGGCCAGGGCTGCTCATGCCCAGCCTGTCCCCTAGGTATGACGAAGGTTCTGGAGGCAGCGGGGACGAGGGCAGAGATGAGGCCCACAAGCGGGAATGGAACCTCTTCTACCAGAAGCAGATGAGTCTGCGCAAGGTGAAGGGGGTGGGGCCTCTGTGGGGTCCCCTCAGCACCCCCTTCGCCGGTGCTGACCTGGGTGCCATCCTGCAGCGGGCGGGATGCCTCACAAGCCTTTCCTGTCACCTTCCAGGGCAAAGACCCCAAGACAGAAGAATTTGTACCCCCAGGTCAGTATGGGGGCTGTGGGCCGGTTCCAGGGTGTGGGTGGAGGATGCCTCCTTGGGGGGTTGGGGACTCCAGAGAGTAGAAGGCAGAGTGAGAGCCTCCCCCCTCCCCCCAGATGAGGACTGTCCCCTGAAAGAGGCTTCCAGCAGGAAGATCCCCAGGCTCACTGTGAAGGTAAGAGGTAGCGGCTCCTCACACCTGCCCCCCAGCCTCAGGCTTGTGTGACCGACTTCTCCCGCTCCCTGCCCCCTCCGCAGGCCCGGGAGCACTGCCTGGGGCTGCTGGAGGAGGCTCTGAGCAGTAACTGCCAGGCTGCAGGTGCCACTCAGGGGTGAGTGTCCCAGGTCACCGGGGCGGGGAGGGTTTTCCACGTCCTGTTCCTTTGGAAACTGCTGGAACTCTGGGTCCCCAGCCTATTTGGGAGCTCCCTCCCCTGATGGTGGCCCGTCCTACTCCCAGGGGTCGCAGCTCCCTACAGCCCCACCACCAGGCAGGCTCGGTCACCCCGAGGGGCTGCAGGTTGCCCAGGGTGTCCAGGTTGGCATCCCTGCCTCAAGGCCATTCCCACCAGGCCCAGAGCCATGTCCAGGGTCCCCCAGGAGAACCACCCGGAGCTCAGCAGGCAGAGGGCTCGGGCCTCCTGACACCTCCACTCCCTTCCCCAGACCTGACCTGCAGGACAAGGCCGTGGAGCTAGAACATGAGATGTTCCGAAATGCCAAGGCTGCCAACCTGTACAAGGCCAGCGTGCTGAAGAAGGTGGGCGGGGGCGGGGATGGGCGGAGCTTGCTCGGGGTCGGGGTGGGAGAGGCGGCCCCTCCACACTCCCAGGCTGGCTGCCACCCTCTGGCCCAGGCAGCCCCGAATCCACTCCTTACCAAGCAGCCACTCATTTCGGGGGAGCCCACTCCCCCCCTTTGCCAGCTGGAGCCACTTCTAGCCAAGCCCCTGAGGACTGGACCTTGTCTGGTGTCCAGTTGCCTACGGTCACGGGCCGCAGAAGCCCGCGTGGGAGCCTGGGTGGGGGCTGCCGGGAGCCTATGGGTGCCTAGCATGCCTGCCCAGCCGCCATCCTGCTCCAGGTGGCCGAGATCCACAGAACCTCCAAGGACGGGCAGCTCTACCACCCGGCAGGCGGTGCCAAGAGCCGCAGTGCCCCGGCCGAGCCCACCGAGCACGATATCCTGCCGGCCTCCCAGGTGTACTCGGTGAGCGGGCCTGGGAACGGCCACTTCCCTCTCCTCAGCTACGGCACAGCCCTGCCTCCCCTGCCTCCCCTGCCTCCCCTGCCATCGCAGTCCTGGCGCTGGGGGGCCCCAGGCAGGCCCTCGAGCTTGTCTGCTCCGCCGCCTGTGTCTCCAGCCCCACAGCCTGACCCCGGGGTTTGGTGCTGGTGTTTCCCTCCCCGTCCCTTCAGATCTCCACGAACGGCCATACCTGGCCCAGCCTTGGTGTGCCCTCGAGGGGCCTGCTGGTCAGCACCCTCTCTCCTCCTCACAGCTCAAACCCAAGCGGGTGGGAGCCGGTTTCCCCAAAGGCTCCATCCCATTCCAGACGGCCTCACAGCTGATGGAGGAGATGAGGGCTGGGGGGCAGGCCCCGCGGCCTGAGCAGAAAGGCGAGCAGGAGCCCCCCAGCCAGCCCCGTGGCCTCCAGGATGAGGAAAGCAGTGAGCCTGTCCCCGGGCTCAGAGAGGCCCCCGGAAGCAGTGCTCATTGTGGGGGGCCCTCCCCTGAGAAGGCAAAGGGCCCCTCGGGGGGCAGTCCCGCGGCCAAGGCCCGGGCCAACAAGAAGCAGCAGCTCCTGGCCGCTGCGGCCCTCAAGGACTCTCAGAACATCGCCCGCTTCTTCTGCCAAAGGGCTGAGAGCCCGCCTGCCCTGGCTTCAGCCCCAGGGGCGGAAGGTGCCAGCCCTTCCTGTGCCAAGGTGCGGGGACCCCTGGCTGTGGCCCCAGAGACATGCACCGGGGAGGAGGATGGAGCCCTGGGGCGTTCGGCTGCCTGCCCCCAGACGGAGTGCACCAGGGAGGGGCCAAGGTAAGGGCAAGGCAGTCCCGCAACCCTCTGGAATCCCTTTCGCTCTCGGGCCTCTGTGACCCACTTCCTGCCGTGGGCTCTGCCGGGCTGCCCGGCCAAGGGCACAGCTGGTACCTGGAGCCCTGATGCCTGCTCTCCCCTCGCCAGTGCCGGCCCACTGCGAGACCCGGGGCCCCCTGAAGGCCAGCTCACCCCCCCAGAGGGGACAGCGAGGGGCAAGCGGCCCAGGCCCCAGCAGGTACTGCCAGGCCCCGGCGGGAGGGAGCCAGCAAGTGCTGTGGCCAGTCTTCCAGAAGAAGGGGAGGGGCCAGTGACGGAGCCCAAGGCTGACCCTCACTGTGGCCCTGCTCAGGAGAACCCGGAGAGCCAGGCGCGGAAGAGGCCTCACCCCTCAGCCGGTGCCTCCATTTTAGCCGAGGCCAACGACAACATCTTGGCCAGTGGTCAGAGCACCATAAGCCGCACGGCCCAGGGCTCCTGCCAGCTCCCAGCCCCGGGCACCTCCCTGAAGGTGGCTGCGAACATAGTGGTCAAGTGCCTGACCCCTTTCTACAAAGAGGGCAAGTTTGCCTCCAAGGTAGGCTAGTCTGCCCTCCCCGGGGCCTTGGGGACGGTGCAGGGAGGGCAGGGCGTGGGAGTCACTGGGAAGCAGGCGAGCCCGGCCCGCTGCCCTCTCCCTCGGCCTGCCTTGCCCTGTGGTCGTGGCTGTGGTTGCTGGGGCAGAGCCGGGGTCTGAGCCCTCCGCTCCCACCCTCCACCCGCAGGACCTGTTTAAAGCCTTCGCCCGCCACCTCTCCCACTCGCTGGCTCAGGAGCCCTCTCCTGGGAGGAGCGGTGAGTGCCTGGGTCACCCCTCCAGGCGGCACTGGGGGCACTGGGGGCCCTGCAGGGAGGCGACCGGCCCTCACACTCCCCCACCCCGACTCTCTAGTAAAGGAAGAGGCCCAGCACCTCATCCGGCAGTTCTTCCGGGGCCGGGCCCGGTGCGAGAGTGAAGCTGACTGGCACGGCCTGTGTGACCCACAGAGATGACCGACAGCTGCCCAGCGGGGCCAGTGTCCCGCCCCCCGACTCTACTGTGGGCCAGCGGGGCCTGACTCAGGAATGGGAAGGCGGGCAGGCCTGCGGCCGCAGGGCATCTCTCTTCTCAGGGTCCTCCCCCCTTCCAACCACACCTTGCTGTGGAGATGCCCCCGGACACCTCCCAAATCAAGGTCAGAGGCCAGAGGTCAGCCCAGCTTCCTATGTACTTGCCAGGCCTGACGCCCTCTCTCTCCTGGCCTCATGGAGCCCCACCTTAGAAGGACCTGGGTGGGGTGGCTGCCGCCAGGGGAACAGGAAGAAGAAACGGTCCCTCCACCTCTTGTACCTGAGTTGTAAGCTGGGGGAGGCCACCTGTGCAAGGCGCGGGGCTCCAGGTGCAGAGCTGTGGGAAGAGGCAGCGGCCGGCCCTGCTTCTCGGCTCCTGCTCGGGAAGGCGAGGCTGGGCCGAGGCGCCTCCCGGAGGAATAAAGTCTGTTCTGACACATGCACGCGCACAGGTTTTCTCTCGGAACTTTATTTCCTCGGCAGCTGCTGCTCCCAGGTCTGGGCTCGTGCTGATCCTGAGCCGGGGCCAGGGGGGCACCTCCCCCAGACGGGCAACATCAGCTCCAAGCCGAGTTCCCACAGCCCCCACACGTCCCCCAAAGGAGTCCTTCCCAGTTGATGTCACTGTAGCAGCCCCTGCCTTGTGACCTCCATGTGGGCCAGCCGGGCTGTGCTGGGCAGGTTCCAGAACAGCCAAGCCACAAAGTCCAAACCAAAGTGACCTGACAGCACCCAAGGGAGACCATCGGGTGAGACTGGGTCCAGGGAGGGGCCCTTCCTCCTCTCCTGCCCTCCACCTCTCCTCTCGAGTGAGGCCGGCCACTAAACGGAAGTGTCGCTGCTGTTGAGCAGGAAGGCGATGGTGTACTGCAGCTCCCGGGCCTGCGGGGCACAGGCCTGTGAGGACAGGCTCCCAGCCAGCCCGCCTCTGCCCCGCCCACACGACGCCTGGGCAGTGGGCATCGGCTGGGCCCAGGCTCCGGGCATGCCAGCCCTGGGTGAGGCACTCACAGCCTCCCAGGGTGGTCAGAGGCCCTGGCCACTCACCTGCGGCAGCTCGAACCAGATGGTCTGGGGGCTGTCAGCGGAGCCGTAGTTGAGTTCCAGGGCAGGGGGCCTGCCTGCCTCCAGGGGGCTCAGCAGGTGGAGCTGCTGCAGGTCCCTCAGGGCGATGGAGCAGCACAGTGTCTGGGGGCAGCAGGGACAGGGCTTGACCCTCTCACGGGGGTACGTGTGGGCGGTGGGAGGGGAATGGCCCAGGGTGCCCAGCCCACCTGGGAGCTGGGGTCCATGAGGATGAGGTGCTGGCGGTTCAGCCCCAGGAGGCTGGGTCTGGGCAGCGTCAGGTCACTCGCTCGCAGCACCACGTAGACAGTGTAACCGAAGAGGGGCAGCTGGCTGGCCGCCTCTGGGGGTGGAGGGGTGACACGGAAGATGGGAGTTCTGGGGCCTGGGGACCTGCCCTACTGGCCCCCAGGTGAGGTGAGAGGGACAGGGAAGGTGGAGCAGCTTTCTCAGCCCTCCACCCTCACCCCTTCCCTCCAGGGCCTCTACCTCCTTCCTCCTCCCCAGCTGCGCCCGGGCCCCAGACCCACCAATGAAGCCGATCTGAGCTTCCTGGGCGCTGCATCCTTGCAGCTGCCTCAGCTCCTGGTCCATCAGGCTCTGGATGGCGGCCACGTTCACCTGACCTTGCAGCAGCCTCGGCAAGTAAGCCAGCAGGTCTCGCCTAGGACACAGCGGTGGGTCAAGGCTGGGCATCCAGCCGGCGCGCAGTGGGTGAACCAGTGGCTAGGTGGGTGAGACTGAAGATCCAGACACACCAGTGAGGTGTCCCTGCCCTCGAGCTTGGTGGGGCGGATAGGGGCCCCCACTGCTCCAGCCCCATCTGGTTAGGGCCCAGGAGAGTAAAGTCAGGTGGCCCTGACCTTGGATTGTGGGCTGAGAGGCCTTTGGGGTGGATGCTGAGGCTGACCTCAGCGCCAGGAGGGACGAGAAGTGACAGGTGTGGGGGGCGTGCACACTCACTCCGAGGGGGGGGCCTCTTGAGTCCTGCTGACAAGCTGGAGGGCAGCCAGCCGGGCAACTTGGGCATCTGCCTGGGCGCCGACCAACAGCTTCCCCTGCAGGTAGTCTCGCTGCACCTGAGGGCAGAGCACAGTGAGGGGCAGCTGTGCCCTACAGCCCCCGACAGTCCTGCCCCTGTCCCTGCTCCTGGCGGGAGGGGAGGGAGGCCCGGAGGCCCCGCCCAGGCAGTGGGCAGCAGGCTGACCTGGCTGTAGTGGGTGCTGATGTAGGTGGGGTTATCAAAGTGCAGGCGGGTCTCCCAGCCGAGCCGCCGGCTGTGCAGGCTGGTTTTCGGGTCCACCAGCACATTGTTGAGGTACTCCTGGGGCCGCAGGGGCCGAGCCAGCTCACCTGCATGGGGAGTTCGGTTCACCGCCCTCCCTGCTGCCCAGGCCCCGCCCCGCCCCTGCCAGCCCCAGCGTAGGGCGCAAAGGTGGACCCAGCAGGGGAGCCGCCCTGAGTGCAGCCTGGCGTCCTTCCCCCACGACTCGCCTTCGCCTTGGATGAGGAACAGGGCAAATTCCTGGACCTCCTCGGGCTCCGTGATGCCCATCTTCCCACATAGCTCCTCCAGCACCTCTGCTGCCACCTGGGCGTGCGGACAGGCCATGATGGGGGCCGGGGCCAGGACTGAGGGCCACAGCCCCGCCCCTCCCCAGCCGGTCTCGGGTGGCCCCAGCTCACGGTGAAAGTCCCGACGTTGGTCTTGTAGCCCACGCCTCCGGGCAGGTGAACCAGGAGCAGGCGGAGCATTTTCCCTTTCTGCCAAGGCACGTGGCAGGTCAGTCCACCCCAGACAAAGGCCCTGGCTCCCCCCAACCCCCTGAGGGAGACCCAGAATGCCCGCCGCCTGCACCCCCAGTACCAGGAACGCCTTCATTTCACCCGGGGGCGGCAGCCGCCGGCGCCCCCCGTATTTGACCGTCTGCTGGAGGTGCTTCTGGCTGCTGCGGGCCAGCTCTGCAGAGAGGACCAGGCTGTGGTCAGCGGCATCTTCAAACCCCTCCCCACACTGCCGAGACCCCGCCCGGGAGCCCCTCCCACAGGCACCTTGACTCCTGCCTGCGTCCTGCAGAAACTGGGTCACGTAGGGCATCAGCGTGGTGGACGGCGGCAGGAAGCCGGTGAGGAGGCTGAGGAAGCTCCAGCCTCGAGCACAGAATTCCCTGCGGGGCAGAGAGCCTGGGCTCGGGCTGCCGGACCACGCAGCGGGCTGCCCGCCGCCCACCCCAGCACCCCAACACTCACAGCCGGGGGTGTCCCGTGACCTGCTTGATGGCCTGGCAGTAAATCTCATCCCTGAGGTTCTCTTTCTCCCGGCACAGCTACGGGCACAGAAAGGACCGGTGGGCAGGGGAGGGGCAGCCGGGGGCGGGCAGAGTGCAGTGGAGTGAGGGGTGGCGTGGGAGCTGATGCTAGAGGCTGGGGGCCAAGTGGGGTGACGGCCCAGTCGGTGGTCATCTCTCTGTCATCTCACTCGGTTTAATGGTGTCTGCACAACCGGTCACTCTAAGTCACGGTCTCCACCTGCTGCCGGCTGTGCTTGGCCTGTCCTCCGCCTTCCCTGGTCCCTCTTAGTTACCTCCTTGACCTCTAAGGGCCTCTGTACTCCTCCCTGATGCTCTTAGCTGCTTCCATCTGCTGATGACCTGGTGCCTGCCTCCAGCTCACACTTCTCCCTTGAACCCCAGCCCTCCCCTTGGAAGTCTGGGACTTCAGACCTCACATGTCCGAAATTCCTCCAGCAGCCCAGGCCCGCTCCTCCCCCAGGCGTAGCAAACAGCCGGGGCCTGTGGCATCCCTGGCCCCTCTCTCACACCCACCCACATGCAATTCCTGGAACCCGGTGCTCGGCGTCTCCTGCTCTCTGCTGCCACCTCTCGGCCCCCGCCGGCACCGCCTCTCACCTGGCATCACTGCAATCACCTTTGCCCTTAGGCCCCCAGAATAGCCACAGCTAGAGCGACCCCAGCAAACACAAGCCACATCCCTCCTCTAACCCCTCCCGTGGGTTTCTCTCTCTTGAAAAAAAAATCGAAGTTCTGACAATGGCCTGCAAGGCCTGCCGTGACCTGGACCCCCTGTCCGTCCCGGGGCCGCCTCCTCCCCTCTCCCCTCGCCCACGGGCTCCAGCCACGCTGGCCTTGCTGGTGTTGAGGCTCACCCTCTCGTGAGCATGTCACCCCGGCCCCTCCCTCTGTCCACATGCACTGCCCCGGTGCACACAGGCCTCCCTCCCTCTGCTCCAGTGTCAGCCTCTGCACTGGCTCAGCCCCCTCCCCGGCCTTCCCCACGGCTGCACCTGTCTCCTCCTACTAGGTCGTAAGCTCTGCGAGGACGTAGTCTGCTTGGCTCACTGCCACACCCCCGGCAGATAGTAGGTGCTCAATAAACACTTGTGGATGATTCGAGTGAATAGTGACCAAGGGAAGGGGGTCCCGTTCAGGCCCAGGCAGGACAGGACTTCATCCTCAGGCTCCCGTGTCTCCCCCAGGTCCCGGCGCACACAGCCCTCGCTTACCTTCAGCAGCTCATAGAGGAGCTCTATCTCGTCCTTGCCCCGGGGCTTCGGCTGGTCCCCCATAAACTGCATCAGAACTACAGGCAGCACGAGAAGCGTGGGGAGCTGGGTGGGGGCCTGGGCCTGGCCCACGCGTCCCCACACAGGGCTTTCCCCGCCATCTGATGCCTTGCTCTCAAAACATGTGTGAGCCAGGTAGGGCGGCAGACCCAGCTCTACCGACGGGGAAACAAGGCTCAGAAATTCTGTGGGTGCCCGCAGCCCCACACGGCACCGCCACTGCCTTCCGGCCCAGAATCTACACAACCCACAACGTCTTGGGCAGGAGCAGAAGTGGGCGAAGGCCGCCGGGGAATAGGAACCACCCCTGAGCTGCCCTGAAGTGGTGAACTCCCGGGAGAAGGCGGCCGGGTGCCTAGGTCCAAGGCACCACAGGCATGGGGCCCAGGCTGGCCACTCACCCTGGAAGCTCTCCACAGCCCGCCTGCTCGTTTTCTTATTTCTGAGGCTGATGAGCGACTCCTGGATGGTGGCCTGGAGACAAAGAGGGGGGCTGGGGATCAGGAGCCTTTCAATACGGGGGGGATGTCCGCTGTCCCGACGATGCATCCACCCGCTTATTTTTGTTTTTGACTCGCTTGGGTAAAAACTTTAAGTTTTCTTTTGTTAAAAAGAGTAAAGATTGAAAAGGCCAATCGTTTAAAGATGTCCGTCCG